TTTATGAAATACAAAAAAACCACAAATTTTTCGTATTTTGTCAATCTTGTTAATAGTGCTAGTAAGAAACTGGTTTTGCGATTTACTATGAAAATTAACGACCTACATTATTAATAATTTAAACTGGATCTCTATTTTGTCATTATTGTCACGATTTTTCTTTGAAAAACCGTGACTGGGCAGCGTATAGGCAGTAACGAAAAAGTATATTACGGCTACGCCCTGAGTCAAAGCTAAATATGTGGCGAAGGCTTAAAAGTTTAAATCGGTATAATTATTTATTTTATTCGTTATTTCTGTTTATTTTTATATTTATAGGTTTCTTTTATTTGTTTATTATTGTACAGTATGGCGTAAGCATTCAAAAAGAAATTACAGCCGGAACGAGAATAGGCTATATCATTATATAGCATGTTAGTGCGATTTATCCGTGGTTCTTAGCTACTATTGCCGTATAACTAATCATAAAACAAGAGGTTCTTGCACTGCTATTGTCATGAACCCTAATTACATCATGAAATTTTTGCATTGCTATTGTAATTGCGAAGTCTATTTACAGTACATAATTTTTACAACGGCACATGATTTTACATATGCATTACCAGCGTTACTGGACTTTATGGCCAACGCTATTCATGCAACAAAAATTACATGTCAAAAATTTACAGTAAAAATTACACAAATAATAGTAATTTTCCACCTACATATAAAAAATATATACTTTACATATGATACTTGCTTTACAGATAATTTATCATTATAAATATCAACAACTTTAATATTATTAAATTTTCATTGATTATATGTATCTTGACTGGGTCGGCCGAATAAACAAACAGGTTCTCAATCAGTTGACTTATTACTCACCGATATTAAACCCAACATTTAATCAACTGATTCTCAATTGGTTGGCTTATTGCTCAACCGACGGTTGACCCGGGTCAGGATTTTTTTGAACAGTTCAGATCACTCCATAGGTCATATTTTTGCGATTGTAACGTTATTTCCAAGGGAGACCGTCCTAAATATGAGACGGTCTTCCTTAAAAATGGTAATTACTGTTAGCAAAAGTCTTAGTCTAAATGCACTAATACATAATAGTAATTTCAATACAATACATGCTACGTACGTACAATAATGATATCACATTATTTCGTTAGGAAAATTATAAATACCAAAATTGTACAAATGAAAACCATAATGTTTGCTAAAAAAAAGGATTTTAAGAAAATTAGCCTAAGCAACATCAAAAAAGTTGAACGAGACCATCCCTCTCACATTTCATGTTACACATTCATGTGATCGTACTGGTATAAATGTCGACCCTTAATATCGGGGATTCCCTTATGTCAAGCAAAAACGGACCCTCCGCATAGGATCGGAACCAATAAAATTGCACAATATTTGTGTAACAACAATGGCGAAAAACCAAGATGTCGTACGTAGCTAACACAAAATTTTACTATGCCAACCAGCTTCCGGCCTCTAAGTAAAAATGCGCAGAACAAAGTTTTAGCAATAGAACACCTTTTATGTCAAAAATTATAAAATTTCTAATGTTATGGCAGATCGGAGCGAAGGTCCGATTTTGCTTGACATAAGGGAATTCTAATATCGGTCGTACCACTTAAATATCGTGATTACTGATCTATTTCATTACGATTACGCACTTATTTACTTGATTAACGACCATATTATTTATTTTATTAATATAGTTTTTATACATTGGTTATATAAGTTAGCTATTGTAGCTAATTGTGCTGACAGTGTAAAAGCTCTCCCAAACAATAGCAAAAATTTAAGATTTCCACAAAGTACGGTATAATGAAAATTACCGTAAACATAATCTAAAAAAAAAACATCCCAACTTACTCTAGAGGAGTAGTGACTTGAATCGGTTAGGCTATAATCGGTTAACCGACCCGAACCGAATAAATTTCGGGTAACCGGTTAAGGAAGTTCTTAATCGGTTGACCCGGTACAACCGGCTGGCGGGATCTGAAAATATAATGAGAGTAAATGTTCCGAAAAGTTCCGAAAAAATAAATGAACGAACAAAAATTAGAGTAAAGCTCCGAGAATTTCCGAAGGTAGTAGAGTATTAATCTTAACCGGTTGGCAACCGGTTGCATGAAAATTATTCGGTTCGGTTAACCGATTAAGGAAAATTTTCTCGGTTCAAATCACTACTCTAGAGGTAAGTTTAAAATATCATTGCGTATCAACTAATAAAAATATGAAATAAACTTTTTTTTGTTTCTACTTTGAAAGATTTATGTACAGTATTGCAATTTTACTATGAATTGCCATGTAGAGAATTTCATTAAATAAAGCATAAAAGTTATAGTCTTTTCAAAAACAAGTTTACTAAAAATAAGCTATTTAACAGTGCTGATAATATACTATCAAAGACAAATTTTTGGCGAAAGTATGCGCTTTTTTAGCATTTTATTACTATAATATATTTGACAATTGCTATGTTTATAAAATACTAATATTAGTATTATATTAGGCAATATTTTAGTAATACAGTGATAGGATTGTGATATAGTAATAAGATTTGAAAATTTATCAACATTTAAATAATTTATTAGATATTTAATAAATTAGTAAAATTGCTAATTTATTGCAAATTTAAAATTTCACAATTTTTACAAAGCTGTTTTGTATTCAGACAAACATATCATTTTTAAGTGCGATGGCCTTCATTTCCTATAATTAAGGGTAGAGTATGTATATCATTTGTCATATAATTTTAGTGGTACAATAAGGTTTATATAAAAAGTAAAAATGTGCTATTAGTAAAACTTCTTACAGGTATAATTTTATAATAGTAAAATTTTAGAAGATAAAATATTTTAAAAAAATTATATTTCTATATATGTTGTAAAGTTTGTCTCAGTTGACTCAAATTTGCCTCAATTACACAAACCGATTAATTTGATTAGTTCATATCGTATGATTATCATATGATTTTTTATAAACAACTTTAGATATCTAAAATTTAAATATTTATATCTCGACGAATATCTAACCGATTTTAATAATTTACTATCGTTATAACCAAAATAGCCTGCTCTATAATTTTACTTAATAGCCCAGAAATGATTTACTTAATAGAATTTTTAAGATTTTAAAAAGAAAAGATAAATACCACGAGTTTTATATATAATTTACAATTTGTATACCCTACCTTTTAAGATTAATCTGATTTATTTGCTGGAGATTCCCAACTCCAATTTAACCAACCTCCCATCATTTTCTGAATCTCCTGAACGGTAATCAGCTCCATCTTATCAACGTTCTTTACACCACTTTTTCTATCCAAAACTTCATTAAACCACGAAACGGCTTCTTCGACCTGCTTCCTATTCAACAGTCCAATAACGGTACTATCTGCACCATCCCATTCCAATGAAAACTGTACGGCCAACTTATGAATATTAAGTCCATTCTCTTTTGCGTATGATACACATTTAGAAGTAACTGTTCTTAATTCGGCGGGTGCCGGGTGCCATCCTGGTGGTGCAGTTTCAGTCAATAGGGCCATGCATAAAGGAGAAGCGTTCATTAAATATTTTACACCAAGATTTTTGAACTTTGGAACGTAAGTTGAGAGAAGTGTATTTTGAAGACAGTAATGAGAATAGGACTGTACAATGTCAAGTGGTTGATTATGTTCATATTGGATTTCTGCTATTTTGAGAAGCACGTCCAATGGATATCCTACAAGAAAAATAATGTTAATGAGAAGGTTATAATTTATTTACGTGGAAAGCCTCTTTAGTATAAACCAGAAAATTCAATACTACAGTCTAACCTTGATATAAAAGAATTTTCTTTGATATAGTCAAGAGATTTTTGTTTTACCAATTATTACCGCGGATTATAATGAAATCAGATTAAAATGAAATTTGGGGTTTCTAAACCCCACTTATACTTGCTTACTATAAATTCTACTCTTAAAGATGAAAAAACCCCAAATCTTTGTATTTATCGGTGGCTTGTCTATTTTACTTTATACAAAACTTTATTTAATCTGATTCCATTTTAATATGTAACAATTATTTTAAAACATATGAAAGTTAAGCCCTATGTAGGCACTATCGCCTTAGTAACAATAAGTTTTAGTTACAACCCAATGATGATATCAAAGTTAGACTGTATCTTATATATGTTGAATTCCCTTGCTTTCCTTTATGAATACTAGTAACTTCCTACCACAAATCCCAACATATTTAAATTTTCCTTCTTTCTATAAAAGATGAACAAAGTTAAAACTGTCATTTTTATCAATTTAAATGTAAGTGCATACCTTTAACTTGAACAATTCCATCAAAGCCCCATCATCACCAACGACGTTATCAATATCCACAAACTCTACATCATGAGTGTACACGACATCAAGATAATCAGTTCCCAGTCGTCTACAACTTTCTTCAACACTTTCACGAACACGCTTTGGAGAGTAGTCAAAGTCTTTTTTAGTCGGTCCATATCTTCCAACTTTTGTAATAATATAATAGTGTGAACGTGGATATTTATCATTGAGCGATGAGAGAACTGAGCCAAGAACTTTTTCGCTATCTCCATAATAAGGACTTGTATCGAATGCGTTGATTCCTGAAAAAATATAAAAATTATTTTAAACAAAAAAAAAAAAGAAAAAAGAAAAAAATTTATTACTTTATACCTAATTCAAGAGCTCTCGATACAGCCTCAAAAGGTGAGCATTTTCCAACTTCATCATAAAGTCCACCGAATGATGCAGTTCCAAATAATATCTTCGATACTTCAAGTTTGTCTTGGTTGACAGGCTAAAATTTTATTAATTCGATTCAAATTTCGATATGATTTAAGATAAAAGATATACCTGTGAATTAGTCAAGGGTTTTAAATTCATTTTGATCTTAAATTCGTTGTCGCTTAAAAGAGCAGGGAGTTTTGGTAACGCTGATTGGATACGTAGTGTATTAAAAATGAAGTTAGTATGGTTAAAATTAGAAAGTAAAGATTTAGGTAATTCAGGGGCGATCGATGTTATATAAAGTTGGTTGTCGGCTAAAGCGGTGTGAGGTTTAGATTTATCTTTTTGATACCGTTATAGTTTTTGGGTTATATAGATATCAAGAACGTAATTTATGTATTATGTAGATCATATACTGAATTAACTCCGCTTCAGCGGCTTCTAAAGGAGGTATGGTTTAAGAAGCGGATGCGATCAGGGGTACCGAAAATTTAATTGCAATTAAATTTTTATACAATTACGATCAAGTAAAATTGTTACAACAAACAATT